CCGCAGTCTCAGACAGTCGGTTAGTTTATTTGGAGCGCAAGAGTGCGCACGAGCTCGGGGATAGGATGAATAAGAAGAAAGAATCTCGCTGAAAAGCTTGGAGCACATGAAGTAAAGCGCGTCATTAGCGTCGGTTTCCAATTTCAAAAGTAAATAAATATTTACCGAACTTAGAAAAGGGGGGTTACGCGAGGGGCGCATAAGGAAGTGTTCCCAGTAACCTTGAAAGTGCGAAAATGAAAGGCGGAGACGATCGATCTACGTTGCGCGCGCGCGCGCGCGCGTGTGTGTTGTTTCTCTTTAAAGTTAAATTAATGTCCAGCTCGGTTGACACCTCAGCGTTGAAATACTTGCGTTTAATTCCTTGGCGGATGACGTTCCCTGCCGCCGTTATTCCCCCGGTAATTTGCGAATTTAACGATGCTCGACCGCAGCATCACAATCAATGACTGCGAGCGTACGGACTGTCATAAAATTAATGGAATAGTACGACAATTTTTAAAGAGAAAAAAAGTGAGGCTGAGATGCGCGTGAGGTGGCTCTAGCTGGGCTAATATTTATATTAACAACTAATGCAAAATTCTTATATTAAAAACTGTTTTATTGACTAATTCGGATATTGTGGATGTCGGCAAGTATTGCCATACATTCGGGCCGGTGCGATGAGCAGGGGAAGGGAATTGGGGATGTGGGGTAGGGGTGGGGGTAGGGGGGGGAGGTTTAATTCTTAAAACTTAATTAAGACAGATATGAAATTGATTCATGACCAACCAAAGAGATTTATGGTAAAAGCGAGAGGTTGATAATTAGTATTTCTTTTTCTTATTAAAAAGTGCAGTCAATATATTTAATAAATCCAGAGCATTAAAAGTTAATTAAAATTCATTGTTTATAATATATGAGAATGGAGGCTCGAAATTTATTATTTCAGAAGCTAATAAAAGTCATGTTTATGATCTTAAAACGCGCTCGGCATTTAATATTTTCAATATTATATTGGTACAATTTTTATTATTGAATATTAAGATCGTCGAGTACGGCTAGTACGGTTATTAAAAATGGTAGTAGTCAGAATCACAACTTTCAAACACAAAATAATATTTAAGGATGTATTGAAAACAAGTCTTTGATAATTAGAACGTCGTTCGGAATGAGGCGAATGAAAATTAATTTTTATTATAGATTAAATCTTCTAGAATATATTGAAAAGGCAACGGGAAAAGTGATCACAAGCATTTCATAGAAACCGCGTTTGTATTGGCAATATGTGTTTGACACACACCAGCAAAGTCACAATCAATGAAACCCAACTGCAACGACATTAATCTACATTAATCTACATTAATATTCAACATACTTAATGAAAGTAGTGTAATATCAATCGTATTTTCTTACTTTTTCTTATTTCGTACGAGGATTAGTTGAAAAAATTATTACTCAAATTATCTCAATTGATAATGCAATTGATGTAATATACGGATTCATTACATTACTTAATTCACATTCGACTGTATAAGATTATTTCATGAGATATTCAAGGAAATTTTTAAATGAAAATTGTTAAAGTTATTTAAATGACGGTATTGTATATTTATTGGGCTCTTTAAAAGCTTAAGTTTATAATCAATAAAGCCTCAATCGTCGATGCTATATTCAGTTTGATTAAATTTAAATTTAAAAACGAATATTTTTGTACAAATTATTATTACACTTATATTATATTACTATACTGGGGATTTTTTGTTTTTGTTTTTTGTTTGTTTGTTTGTTATAGGGTATAAATAAATGGAAGGAAGAATACAATATTTAACAATTTCCTATTTATAGAAATTAAAAGTTCTGTATACATCTATTATTCATATATACACGCGCGCGCGTACATATTTAATTTATCGTCTTATTTTGGCATTATTAAAGATACATTAATGTATTTAAAGACATTGCTAAATATAAGGTCACAATAAACAAAAGGAAAAAAGAAAAAAGATTGCTTTATTACATTTAACTATTTCCACTATTTTATCGCTATTTTTTAGATAATCATTAGTTAGTAATTATAATAATAATAACAGCGACAATAATAATAGTAGAGTCTTATACAATAAGCAATATTATTTATTAGAATATTTTCTTTTTGTTTATTACAATGTTAGAAAATATTGTTAATATTGTAGGAAAATTAGTCGATTCATTTCCTTTTTAAATCAGTAATTCAACTATTTATGAGATTATATATATATATACGCACACACGCACATAATTAAACATCGAATCAGTCCACAATTTACGTTCTTCGTTAAACAAAACAATTAACATCATATTAAGTCGGCCGAATTACTTTATGATTACGTTCTATTTTTATTTGCAAAGTAAACTGTTAAAATTATATGCTAAAATTACTTTCTCAATAGTATACAAACAAATAGAAGCAAATACGTTTCATCACAGTGATTTACGCGTTAAATTGACGTTAATCAAGATGGTGAAAACGAGCTAAAAAAAAATTTATATTTAATAAGCAACAAAGCCAACGATTATTATGTAATAAAATATATCCACATTAGAAATTTAAACGAATAATTCATATAATTTTTTAATTAAACGAAATTCTCACACATTTAGGTGCCTGTCGCGTGAAACGGAATGTGCGAGATGATTATTTGCCAGCAACATTAGAATAATCCGTTATCGATTGAAATAATTAATTATACTTTGTTGTGTAGAAATAATATATATATATATATATATATATATATATATAAAAGAAAAAAAAAACCATTACAATTTGATGTAACATATCAATTTCAACGACGATAATCATTTTAAATGTAATATTACATTTTGGTTAAATGCCAATAAATTTTTTTAATCGGCTTATTAAATAGTGTGTAAAATAATCAAAGAGATAAAAAAAAAATGATAATAATAATAAAAAAAAAAGAAAAAAACCACTAATATCCAGTACTTTTGCCATACATTATTATAGTCATATTCGTGTCATATTCATATAAAATAACAAATTCTAAGACATTTGGAGAAAATTGCTCATTTACATTAGTTGAGTTGAAACTTGTATCGGAGAATTTCGATTAACCGCAAAATTGAAGCGAAACAAGCTATGTAGATATAAGAGGACCATAAAATGTTCCCGGGTTGTTCATTTATCTCACTCTACACAGATGTTGAGCTCTCTGTTTGCAAGCGTTGGCTATCTTTCTTCAATTAACGAATAATCGATACGTCAAATAAAAGACGCTTTTAATTAATTACAGACCGTGAAAGTCCGTTCATTGTTTAAACAATACAAACAAAAAACATCCCACTCTAAGCCTGCGACTCTAAGTGCAATGCATCGTCGCGTAATTACGTAATTACGCAATTACTTGTCCTATCGTTCGTGCGTACGTTCATCTACACGTATAGATTCGTTTATGCAACTGCCCCGAGACGTTTCGTTCCGTTACAACATCAACTTGCATAATCGCGCTAAAAGAACCGACCTAAGTTCAACTGACTATTATTGCCCGAAATAACGTGAGCCCTTGGAAAATAACGGCCGGTCTCCGTTATAATAGCGAGACTCGCGAGTCGCGCAAACGCAAGGTGAACCTAATACGAATACGCGCGATGCGATACGTGAAATCTGCGGGAAGATCGAAGACACGCGCAATAGCCAAGGGATTTATGCGCAGTTTTCCTTGATCGAGGCGTAGGTGGATGTAGCGACGGAGCACGCACTCGGCAAAGTCCTACATTAGATCTGAGAAAATCACAGGGGACAATCCCCGGCGACTCTGCCCGTCATATCTCCCCTTGACACCCTTTGGATTTCGCGCATCTCCCCTACGTCGACTTTTGCCGTATCGTTAGTCAGCGTAAAGAATAAAATGAAAAAAGGGAAGGAACGAGCCCGTCATTTGAGGAATCTCGTCGAGGACCTCGTCGAGCACGTATGGATATTTACAAGATTTAACGATATAAGGGATCTATCTATCTTGGTGCGCTTTGACGTTCGATCGAAGAGATACTATGAGCAAGTCGTCATGTTCCCGATTAGACAATTAGACGTCTACAACAATTTGATTGTAATGGCGAATAATAATAGCGTTCGTTAAACACAATGGCAATATACTTTTGTGTTTGATTTTACCGAACGTTTTTTCAATGCAAGTCGTAGCGTTTCTCAGCAATGAAAGACCAACTCCCCTGCGAATGCTCCGCGTCCCTCCCCTGATCTTTGGAGATACACGAGTTACGGAAATTCTTTTGATGCTTTCAGGGTGGATCCTCCCTTACGCGAGCTCACCAATTTTTATTCGGAGAGCAATAATACTTTAGCCGGCTATTCCAGCTTATCTCTGAACTCTTATCACTGGCTTGGCACATACAACGACTTAGCCAAGTAATTGCGTGCAAACACGTCGTCGACACACCCAATAAAAATTCCAATTCCTCCATCAACCCTTGCTCGCTCGTACTCCGTTTTTCCTCCCCTTTCGTCGCCCATTATCCTCTTGACGCAAGCCCACGTCGAAGGAGCAACTCGATAAGCTGACTGTTGTTTTTATTGGCCGAGAGGAATAAATGGAGGTCGGGTCGGTTGGGTCGGTCAGTTTGGTTGGTTTGGTTGGTTTGGTTGGTTTGGTTGGTTTGGTTGGTTTGGTTGGTTTGGTTGGTCCGTTAGTCCGTTGGTTGGTTGGTCGGTCGGTCGGTCGGTCGGTCGGTCGGTCGGTCGGTCGGTCGGTCGGTCGGTTGGTCGGTTGGTCGGTTGTCGACGAACCCTCAAGTAAGACGGATGGTCGTGTACAAGGAGGATCGAAGAAGATGGGACAGGTGAGAACAAACTCGAGCACCGTGAATCGATGTCAAACGACGATTTTATGAAGCTCGGAGAGCTCGGGAACCTCGAGGACCGCGAGGAAGCGATGTGCGATGAAGGATGATGAGAGGGACGAAAAGGTGCGCGATGTGACGATAATAAGTCGAGCGAACGTGCTTACCGGGGTATCTGCCTGAGGTCTCGTTGCCTGTCCTTGCCATCGCTGCTCGTGAACCAGATCTCGAGGAGCTTTTCCACACCCTCGAAGAATTGTACGCTCTCGGCGCCGTCGTTGTCGGGAATCGTGGCCGTCGTTGTCATCGTCGTCGACGGCAGGCTATTCAGTTCGGTGACTATCTCCGCCATGGTGATCAGGGGCTCGCACCACGACCCGAGGTAAAGCTCCCAGGATGACGGCCGCTGGCCGATTGACCCACCGAAGCTTAAATAGACGATGGGGGTTGTCTCGTATGACTCTTTAAAAAATTTTCTACTCGTGCCACAAGTTCATACAGGCACGTGCTATTGATGCTGCTACTATTCCAATTGCCAATAATAATAATGATGATGATGATGATGGTAGTGGTGGCGATGCTACTTCTGTTGCTTCTGCTTCTGCTTGTGCTTCTGCTCTGATTCTGCTTCTGCTTCTGCTTTTGCTTCTGCTTTTGCTTCTGCTTCTGCTTCTGTTTCTGCTGCTTCTGCTGCTTTTGTTCTGCTGCTGCTGCTGCTGCTGCTGCTGCTGATGGTGGCGGTGGCGGTGGCGGTGGCGGTGGCGATAGCGGTGGTGGTGGTGGCGGCGGTGGTGGTGGCGGTAGCGTGGTAGGTGGTGGTGGTGATTGTGGTAGTGGTGGTGGCGAAAATGGAGATGGAGGTGGAGGTGGAGGTGAAGACAGTGGTTGTGGCGGAAGTAGTGTTGGTTAGTGGGTGGTGAGTGATGGTAGGTGGTGGGTGGTGTCGGTGGTGATGGTGGTAATGATGATAATGATGATAATCGAGTGCGTATGAGCGGTAGCCTCTTCGAGGGGCGCCGATAACGCACGACCCCTCGCTCCCTCGCGTCCCTCTCTTCTTATCGATGTCTCGTAGGCTAATGAGCTACCGTCCTCCCTGCATTCGTGCCGTCTTCTAGACGTGCGCGCGCGGTTCCGTACCTGCGTGCATGCGCGCGCGCGCGTGCGTCTCGCGTACGCTGGGGACGTATGTAGTGTGCATGCGGTCACGTTAGGAACATAAAACGAGATCCGCGCCCGCGCGGGATCTAGACTCGTTTCTGCTCTCTCTTCTTCTTATTTCTTTATCTTTTTAATATCAATATACATACATACGCGGTCGCGGGTGTCACGCCGATGCTGACTATTCACGTATTTACATGCATCGACGCACGAGTACGGGGGGCGATCGTTAAGGCCTACGGCTGCTACGCGCTGCGTAAGTGTGTGTGTTGCCTTGCGAGTGCGGTGCGCGTACGTGCACCTCGTGCATGCTCGTGCACACGGATTCGAGCGCGCGGCCGCTGTGTGAGGCACCGTGCACGTGCACGTGTGTACGTGTGCGTGTGGGTGAGCGTGTGCGTGCGCGCGCGTGTTTGTTGTGTACTCGTTTCGTGCTCTCGCGATAAGCGGCCGCGATACGGCATCCACGGCAGACGGCGGTTTCGATTTCACTGAGGGCCAGTTCGGTGGAGCACCAGCCAACGGAACGGCGCGGAGCGGAGAGTCAAGGACCATCGCGGCTCGCCCTCTATCTCCGTCTCGCTCGCTCTCGAGCCCCGCGAGTGCGCATGCCGACGTCCGTGCGCTTGGTGCGCGCGCGCGCGCGCGCTCGCGCCGGCTTATGTCGCGTGCGTGCGCCTCCCTCTCCTCCTCCTCCTTCTCCTCGTCGTCGTCATCCTGATGCTCCTCTCGCCCGCCAGCTTAAGAGGAGGACGGAACGAAGTCAGCCCCCACCGACCAATCGGACGACGAGTGACGCCGTGCGCGGATTCTCTAGCGGACGCGCGCCACTTTTTTCCGCGTGCGTCGTCCGTTTGAACGTGGACGAGCGGACGACGCGATGGCGTTGGCCCGATTGTCCGGCGGTGCGACATCGGCAGCGATCCGCCGGCTCTTTCCTACCCGCGACGTAACGGGAGATACGCGCGAAGAGCGTTGACCGACCGGGCGAGTCACGCATGCGAGGGTGCAATCGCACGAGGAGAAGCTTGCGATCGCTACGAGGGATCCTCGGGCTCTCCGTGTGATCCTGCATGGATCCTCGCCGTGCATGAGTAATTGTGGGTGCGCGAGCGTCTTCTCGCACTTGGCGACTTTCTAAATTCTATCGAGCTTTAGTCGAGTAAAGTCGGCGCGCACCACTGCCGATAATGGGAGTCTTAAAGGGTTCGATAGGGTTGTTGCTCATTAGGTTGCGACGGTGAATCGCGCACTTGTTAGCCTTAACCTCTTTATATAATTCGGTGAAAGCGCGAATTTTCAGTGGCTCGTCGTAAGCTTTTTGGAGATTTTGCATTTAATCGAATTTTGCTAGTTAATTGTGCTTGGTATTGTCGTTCGTTACACGCAATGTGATTTTATATCATACGTATTTGATATTATCGCGTTTAAGGCAATGGCATTGTATGTGTTGATAATATTGAACATTAATTGCTTGGTTGTAAGATGAAATGAAATTCCGCGACAACACTTTGCTAATTGGCCGATGCTATTTTTATGCTAATAATAAAGCGTCGAGAAACAAAAATAAAACAAAAAAACGTGAATTGAAAAAATGTACGTAATTAATTCTGGCATAAAGTATCTGATTATGATTTTAAACTTCAATATACAGATTTATTTCTCTATATTAATTTTATTTTTGACGTTTATTGTTGAAAGCATATACGAAAATACGAAAATAATTATTTAATTTTCGAATATATATATATATATATATATATATATGAATACATATATTTTTAAGTTTTATTGAAAAATTATACTGTTAATTAAAATAATATGAATGCATTTGAGTTTGTCCAAGTAATTTAAATATTTTGTCAATTTAATTATTGATTAACGATCGATTATCTAAAATTTATAATAAAATGATAGGCGCGCGCGCGCGCGTTTGTAAATAAATTTCATTTAATATTTTTTTATTCGCTAAGACAGTATGCAACTTGAAAAATGAATCGAATTTACTTGGTATTATATTGTTTATTAAAATAAAATGGCTTTCGAACGGGCAACATGAAAAACAATTATGTAAACGAATATAATTCCCAAGTTAAATAATGAGCCCCCCCTCCCCCCGCCAAGCGTAAGATGCAATTGTTTTAATATAATTGTAATTTTTTAAGTGAAATGGTAATTTATATTCGAGAGAAGTATTAGTATTGACATATTGGAGAGGAAGAAAAATAATTTTTATTAAAATCTATTCGTCTATTTATCGTGTGTATGTATGTATGTATATGTATATTATATATATATATATATATATATATATATATATTATTTTTTTAACACTTTCTTCATTAGTAACTATTAGTAGGGATGGTAAAAATCACTTTTAAGCGTAACTTGCGTAACTTAATTGTCGCGCTGAATCAGAAGTAAATAAATTTGTTTCTTCCTACTCATGTTTTGTGTTTAAGGACAAATAATAAGACTTCACTTGCATTGCTAATTTTAATAATTGATGAAAAACAATGTCTCAAAGAAAATGGTAAACATGTTGTTTATGTATGAATAAAATTCCTTCTAATCTTGTGTTAACTTCAGGGAGGTTAAAAAATTTTCTACTTTGTCATAATATTATTAAACTGATATAATGCATTAAAGGGAAAGAAAAAATGCAAAAAATTTTTATTAATGTATACTAGATGAAAAAATTACATATTTTGAACTATACATCTTAACTTCCTATCTCAGTAATCGTGAAATAAAAATTGCTTATAAAACAATCTTTTATTTAATGAACAATAATGATTAAATTTTTTTGTTTTCAAGTAATTTCAAAACTTCATTTAATTACTCATAACTCTAATCGACAATATTATCATTTATCAGTATTAATATAAAAATTAGAAAACATGAACCAATGTTTCATTGAACGTTAAACTGAGCATTAAGTATTAATTAGATATTGCGAGTTGTATGAACAATTATTAATACAGTTTTATAAAAAAATATTTTGCACTCCCATTATGTACACGCGAATTATGTCAATTTAAGCACGATCGATCACTGCTTAAGTTTCGATTTTACGAAGCTGGCGCGATAATCTTTTTCTGTTCCACTTTTTTCAAGCTCCTTTTAGCGCCATTCTTCTGTCCACTTTTCTTCACGATTCTACCAGACTGCGTTTTGTTTCTCTGGCTATTCGACTGCTTCGTCCTCTTCGAGATATTGGGACTCCTTTGTTTACTCTGCTCCGTCTTCTTCGAGGTATTAGGAATTTTTTGTTCCTTCTGCACCGTCGTCTTCTTCGATGTGTTAGAAGCTTTTTGTTCCTTCCGCTCCGTCGTCTTCTTCGATGTGTTAGAAGCTTTTTGTTCCTTCTGCTCCGTCGTCTTCTTCAAGGTGTTAGGATTCCGTTGTTTCTTCTGTTTCTGAGTCCTCGGGATACTAGGACTCCTTTGTTTCTTCTGCTTCGTCCTCTTCATTATCTGCGCATCCTTTCCTTTCTTTTGCTTCGGTTTCTTCACACCATTAAGAACCTTTCGATCTTCGAGCTTTGCCGGGCCCGTCAGCCTCTTCAGCTTCTTTTTCTCCTTCTTCTGTAGCTCCATCTTGATCTTCCTTGCATTACTTACGCTAATGAGCGCATCAGTGCTCATGGGCTCGATAACTTTGCCCATCTTTGTCTTCACCGCGGGCTGGGTGATCTTACTGAACGTTTTCTCGGGAACAAAGTCACGACCCAGCGGCGCCCTTATGCTCGCTTCGAAGTCCTGAACGCTGGTGAAGGGAAAGGGCAACTCGCTCACAAGGTGTTTCCCAATCTTTGGGCACTTCTCCTCGATGATGACGACGTCGCCCTTGTTTTCGTCCCGGCGCGGTGGCGGTTTCGGCATTTTAATTAAAAACCGACGCTTCTTTCGAGTCGACGGTTTGATGTTCTTGCCACCCCAACTACCCCATCCAGGAAGTTGTAGATCGATGTTTTCCGGCTGACTCTTCTTTATCTTTCAGAAAAAAGGAAGAAGGCAAAAAATGATATAACTGGAAATATAAATTGTCGCTCGCTTCCTGGTATTTTATAGAAAGCGGAAGAAACCTTCGCGCAAGCAATTGCGCTCAATAACAATTTCAAAAACCGATTATTCTTATTATAATAAAGTTTGTGCGTTTAAATAGCTAAAACAAAATATATAATGTTGAATTTCTATATGACATTTCGTCAACAATCGTTTTCATTTAATAATCTACAAGTACATTGTATAGAAGATAATCACGTTAAAATTTTTAAGCAAAACTAATAGCAAAAATAGTTTTAACTATGATTGCGGATGTAAAGTCTTTAGTTAATTGATAAGTAAACAATTTCTTAATAAACAATGTGTTTTAGTTACAGATATTTGTTGCAAAATATGTTTATAAAATGATAGATATTTTGAAACGGTTAACATATTTTCTGCACTGAACGTATTTGATAAAAATTTAAGATATCTAAAGAAAATTTATTTTTTCTATCATTTAATCTAATCTAATTTTTATACTACAATACAATAAATAAAATATTTTCATAATTTACGTCAAAGTTTGCTATGTTTGTTATATTTAGTAAACAGTTTTATGTTATAACAATATAAGGAAATTTTAATATTATTCAAGAGATAACTAAATACGTATATAAAAAGAATATTTACAAGAATACATGAACATTGCAAAAATTAAGAATATAAACAATGGGAAGAAATTAACAAAACGGTAAATTATAAAAATTCATCCTAAATGTACCATTAATATTATTTAAAAATACAACACCTACAAAGTAAATTAGTTTTTGTCATCATTTAATATGTAATAATATGATATAATTTAATAAATCCACGTAAAAACTGGAAAAAAAAATGAGCTAATAATTTCGGTATTTTATGTAGATTTAAGTATTTTTATTCTTTACATTTTCGGTACACCTTAGCAGTCAATCAATGAATTATAATTTCCAATGATCTATTGTTATCCCATTAACAATAATGAATAATTTTAATAAAATTAACGTAAAATTAATTTTAAAATATAGATTTACATTAACAGAATTTAATTTTCTATATTTAAAAATTTACAAAATGCATATATTAGAATCTGTTTAAATAAATATATATATATAATTTCTTTTATGTTATAAATGAATGTTTCTTACAATTTTATTGATAATTATCATGTATTGTGTAATATTAATAATAACTTTGAATTTAAATGGATTATTAACATTATATATATATACATAATAAAAAATTTGTGTCATACGAATAATTCAGCAAATACCAATTCTTGATAATCGTGAAATTTATCGTTCGTTCTTACTAATCTTACATAATTTACACTTTCATATAATTTACAAACGGATAAATATTTATTCTTTATCAAAGTTTACATTAAATGTAAAATATACTATTTCCAAATTACTATTGCAGAAGATTGTTCAAACTTTTTTTGTCATAAATGTGATCTACGGCGTGAATAAATTTGAATATACATTATACTTTTTATTTAATGATTTTAGATTGTATTGAGATTTTGACAATCTGTTTACATTATTTTTAATGCAAAGATTTACGTTAGATAGCTTCCGTTTTCAGTTTTCTTCTATTTTAATTTAATTAAAAGAAAATTACTTTTTTCTTTAGAAAGTACATTAAATCTAAATGGATTACTCGTAAGGGGTAATTTAGGATTCAATTTTTCTTTTTAAAACGTCTAATAATGATGCATTTATAAAATAAGTTAATAAATTTGAGACTTATCCTGTAAATTGTTTACTTTTTATTAATAAATAGACCAGCATTGAAAGTATAAGATTTAAGTATATTTTATAGGTGAACGGTAGAAAATTTCAATTTCCGTAAACAAAAAACTAAAAAATAAAAAAAAAAAAAAAAGAAGAAGGAAAATAAACTAAATATAATTTAAATACAGTTACGGTAAAGTATAAAATTAAACTAATGGAAGTGTAAAATGTATTGTTCCACTTAATAAACGATAATAGAACTTTCATAATAATTTTTCTTTATAACTCTAATATTAGGAGATTGAATACTGTACTAACGGCGATTTAATTAAATATTATAGCAAATTTATGTCATAATGCCCTCTAATTATAATCATAGAGGTTTTTAATTTAACGATTCGCTCAACTATATTTAGCTAATTAATAACGCAAGAAGTATAGCGACGAATATATTTATTTGCAAAAATTATAATAACCACATTATAAACAAAACTAAATAATTTAATTATATTTTTAATTTAATTATATGTCAATGATTTACTCTGTTTTATTGATTTTAAATATAAAATGCAGCAACATGTACTTTTAATACGGTAATTTTACAATGTATTAATTGAACTATCTAAACTAAGAATAATTATTTAGAAAAATTTCTTTTATATATTTTCTTTTTTCAAGAAATATGAGAGCAAAAACATTTTAGACTCATTTTATTCTCCTTACGTCCTTTAAAATTTGTAATCGTAAAATACATTGCTTTAATACATAAATAATTAATAATATTTAATAATGCTTGCTTTCTCTGTTAGTAATTCGTACGTTAATAAAACAAACTTATATGTGTATAATGTTAAAAATGCCTCGTATTTTGCTTGTTTTATTTTATAATTTATCATAGTAAATTGTTTCTACTGCAATTTCATTTAAAAGGAGATAAAAAAATTTTCTAGATTTTTATTTTTTAACCGTTAGATGTAGATGTATGTATATTTTGCTTAAATCAAATCGGGCCATAAATAACATTTAAAAATTACTATTTAAAGCTTAAACAAAAAACTAAATATAATTCTTGAAAGTTTTTATAAATAATTAAGTTGATTTACCTCTTGGTCTTTTTCTCTTTGGAATTCATCTACTACGTCATCATCGGCAAAGGCTTCACTTATTATTTGTTGTTGATCTTCGTATTCACTGTCGTCAAGAGCATCTTCGTCCCCGGCAATGTCGTCGGGTAACATAGTTTTCACGTGTACTGGTTTCACATTCATAAATTTATTAGGATCAATTTCTACTTTCTTCGTTGGCTGCATTACATTACTATTAAAATCATTTGTATCATTTATTCCATCGGATCCTGAATTTTTATTAGACGGTTGAAAATTCGTCGTTTCTTCGATGGGTTTATTGATTATTGGTTTGACATTTCTTTGGCCCTTCAAACCAAGCTGCTCAACATCATTGGTCGAGTCCTCGTTTCCTCTTTTTCTTTTGCTTTTCTTTACATTTTCTTTTTTTATTTCTTTGTTGAGCAAGTTTTTCATTTTGGAGAGTTTCTTCGTTACTTTTAGTTGTACCTTATTCTCGAGAGTATCAAAGATTTCATCGATATCGATTCTTTTAATATCGTTGGATATCTTTTTTTCTGATTCAATTGGACTAATAAACCAATTCGATGTTCCAGCTTTAATTTTAATCCCTTTCGTCTTTGCAACTTTCTTTAAAGTTTTATTTAAATTCGTCTTAAGCTTGGCATTTGGGGTTTTGACTACTTTTTTTTCTCGTTTCTTTTTTATAATGCCAGTTTGATCTTGACTAGAAGATTGACTTGCCTTATCAGATTTACGAAATTCATTTTCCTTGGGTAAATTTCCTTTAATAATTTTTTCAACAGGATTTTTACTCTCGGCTGAATCTTGTATTTCCGATTCTTCGAATATTTCCTTCATATTATGATTGGTACTATTTTCCGAAATGCTATTATGACTCTTCTTTTCATTAATTTTTTTCATTTTAGGTTTTTTTTTGGTTGTATTTTCATTAATACTATTTTGATTTTTTCCCGATGTCTTAAGACTTACAGAGTCATCTATTTCACGCTGAGTAGGTTTTTTTTTAACGTGAGTTTTGTCTTGGCTACAAAATCTCTTAGCGTTATCGGGTTTGCCAAATCCGTTTTCGTTCGGAAAATTTTCTTCGATAATCTTTTCTACGGGATTTCTACTTTTACAAACATCTTCCATTTCCGGTTCTTCAAATACTTTCTTCACATTATTATTAATAATCCTTTCATTGTTAATATTATCTTCTGAAATATTATTTTGAACCGTATTTTCGTTACCATTAGTATTTTTTGAAATATTACTTTGTTTTTTTTCTGATGTCTTTTGTGCATCATAAAATTTTCGATAACGACTTACAAAGTCGTCAATTTCAGGCTGAGTACTCATTGTATTTAGCCAAGGATTTTCCTTATCGTTATTTGGTAAATGTACTGGTTGATCGTCACTATCTTCATCGCTATCATCCTTTTTTACTTTTTGAGTTAGTTCCCTACTGATCGATAATTGTTGGGCCAATACTTGACGACTCTATTATAAACAAACATCAACGAATAAGTAACATAACATATGACAATAAATGAAAATTTTTGGCAATATTTTTTATCCAATAGTAGAATTTGTTAAAGTTGCTAAAATTTTTAACACGTTTATGGAAATGTAGGTAAACGTAAAAAAATATCAATTAACATGTTTATATAATCATCGATCTTTTTTCTGTTTTTTTTTTGTTTTTTTTTTTTTTTTTTTTTTTTTTTTGCAATATACATATTTTATATTAATACTATACGAATACCAAAGATAAAAATCAAAATGATATTATTCCATATATATTAAATTTTGAATTTTATAAGGTAATAAGAAATGCAAGTCTTAATCGACACTTTTCGTTAACAATGAATTATTTACAAACGATAAGGCAAAAACGCTCTATTTACCTCTTTATCATATTTAGCTCTAACTTGTTTATTTTTTGCCCATTGTCCGGTACTTTTATGTCTTAGAGTCATACGCTCTTCGGCTCTCGTTTTATCTAATTGGTCTAATTTCTCTAAAGCTGCTTGTGGATCGGTTTTCTGTAATTCCTCAAATTCCTTCATCGTTTGTTTAATTTTTTCCTTCCTTTGTATCCTATGGAACTTTTTACTCTTTATTTTGTTTTGTCTGTGAGCTTTTGCCACTTTGTAGCTCTGTAAGAAATCATATTTTCAATTATGGTCATGGGGATAATGGGTCTTGGAGATATTAAAGGCTCGTCACGATAAGTTTATAAACATTCTTTACCTCTTGGGCCCTAAGCTTAGCAGCTTCCCTTCTTCTTTCTATAATTTCTTGTAAAGTTAATGGAAACGCATCCTTTTCCTCCGGCTTTTTTTCAGGCTCAATCTCTGCCAGTTTTTTCTCCAATTCCGACTGTATACGAAATCGCCCCAAATATTCATCGCTCGGCTCCAGTTTCATAGAAGATTGGCTCAATGGGAAACTGATGCTCGCCGCAGTTCGATTTCTGGCGACTATGCCACTCCATTTTGTAAGATCTGTTTTAGTATTCTGAAATCCTACCGCGCGTTTTATCTAAATGACAAACATTTTTATCATATAAACATTAACTTACATCGCTTAAAATTTGAACGTTTAAAGACGTTGAAAAAAAGTCATAAAAACCCTTTCGGCTGCCGGCTTCTCCAACGGCTTATCCAAAACTTTAACTTTAGTTCTTGCAGCCTCGATCTTTTTACCAAGATCTACAAAGTCACCCTTCTTTTTAAGCGTCTTGGCCAGCTCGTCGATCTTAACAGCATCTTCATTAGCGATATCGCTCTTCACTAAATGAAATTCCGAAACTTCCAAGCTCGGCTCGCTGCGCTCGACCTTCCCGACCCTTTCGTCATCAAAATCATAAAATATTAAGCAAAATTAGAATAATCAATCAAGCATGCCGACGCAGGCTTAATGCCGACAAAATCGGCTCAAACGTCTTTCTACGCGAAGACTCAATTAGCAATCAACGATTTAAGACTTAACAGCCGCCAGCTCATCACCGACATCGTGCATCGTCATAACCTACGAAGCCCCGAGAAATACCTTTGGCTCTTGTCAAGCTGGCGCACGGCCTCCAAGAGCTGGGAATGGTTCCCGGAAATCTCCTCCTCGCTCTCCCAACTGGACTCCGAGCCGCTCATTATAAAGTATCGGCCGCCTCGGGAAAATGCCGCGGTAGCCGTGCACGTGCTCCTCTCACGATGCCAGCGCGCAAAAGCTCGACGACTCGACGAGGAGGAATCGGCGCTGTCACGCTCGGCCCCTTGGCAGCTTCGTCACTCCGCCGCCGGCATCTAGTGTAACGTGAACGTAATAATATATAAACGAGAGGATCCGGGCAATGCTCGGTGTAGTCCTGCCACGTTCAATTGGCCGGGCCAGTTGTAATGTGCCGTGAGGATATTGTTAGCGTTGTTTTGCTGGCCATCGCATTGAAGCGCCGCGGATTGAGGTTACGAGTGCCTTACCATGCAAAATGTAAAATGTAAAATGTAAATTAGCGTGAGAGGTGGCAAACCGATGTGTATTAATTATTCGAATTTTGCGTTAAGGCTCGACCGATCGACGTTTAATTGATTTTGAAACTGTGCGTTCGATATTGGAGATATAAGCTTTTGTCTTGTCAAAGATAGCCCTTAGTGTGACATAACCTTCGATTGCCAAAAATAAAGTTACATTCCTTCCGCTCGCGGATTATAGCGAAATAAAAGTGAACGAAGGCTTGTAATATCGCGTTGGTAATACCATTTAATTACCATGACTTATTTGTTTATTGTGTCAACGCTAAGATGTTTCGTTGAACTGCTTGTATTAATCGTCATCAAATTTGCAAGTGTTTGGATTTCGCACTAATATTGCTAAATAATAATGTGCACTGGTAGATTTTTGAATGATTATTGCACTTTAGGTGACGGCGTGGTATTGCTCGGAGTCGAAGGAAGATCAAGGATTGCGAAATGATTTATTGGAGCTAAAACGAGAGATAAGTAGTATATCTATGGTGGATGAGTTTGCAAAGTATGCGAAGCTGCAAAGAAAGTACATTAAGCTTGAGGATAAAGCTAAAGAGAGCTGTAACTATTTATATTAAACGGTCGATTTTTAATTATTTTGGACAAATTGGCATTCTAATTACTAATCCATTTCTAACGTTTCTTTTTTTTTTAGTAAATAATCGATTGGCGTTAAGATCAAAATTGCGGTTATATTGGACATATGGAATTCGTATTTTAAATGTAGGTATCGTAAAGTCAGTGCAATGGGCCGACGATATATTAAGTTTCTCTTTTAATTTCATTTAAACAGGGTATTTTTACATCGATTCTACTGGTCTTGTATCGTAAAGAGCCTGTCGTTGTTTTTCCTAACGGTTATTTGTGGCCCGTTGAAAAACTTCTAAGTTGGCCGACGTCTGTGGATAATTGTATTTCTCTGCCTGTATGGATTGTTCTAATGGAAATGTCCATTTTGCCTCACTTGAAATTTAATACATCGTGATTAATATGGAGATTAATTTCACCACATTCATGTAAATCAAAGCATATTCATAAAACATTGTCAATTTTCAATTTTCGCATTTGTCTGAAATATAAAATAAATACATAATATATTTCTTCTAATGGACTGTTTATTATTATCATTCTATCCTTAAAAATAATTTCAAACGTTTCTCTGCAAAAGCAAACGATGATGCTTTTAAATTGCAGCATAGAATTAAAAAGTTTACTAATACTCAATTGGTAATTTACTATCGGAGATAATCAAGCAATAATTTTTATGTAAAATGGAGGCTTTATAAAAATTAATTACGTAACATAATAGCAAAAAGAATGGTGTATTTCAAAAAAGCATCAGTAAAGTACATAATATGCGATTGGAAACATTTACATACGTTTTGATTAACAATAACTTTGCATCTTACATTGACAATGCGAACGTAAAACTAACATACAAGCGTCTTGTACAATTATAATAATTCACCTAAAAATATAATAATGAAGCAATGTTGGTACGGTGAAAATCATTAATATGTAACTAATAAAGATAAAACGCTCCAATAAAAGCAGGTATATCAATGATAATTCTTCTTCGCTTAACGATCTTTCATCAATAATTTAAAAATTATTACACTTCTTGAAAATGAAATTATTACTCAAACATAATATTATTGATAACATTGTATTGAAAAAAAAATTTTGTCTACTTATAAACGATAGTTTTGTAACAATTGAAATATTAGCACTGATAATAATGTACGTCATTATAATATTAAAAATTAAAGGTACTTAAAAAAACATTGTAAATATTTTAACAATATAATATTATTAATTAAGATGAATTTGAAAAAATAAAATAAGAATTTATAATATCAAAACATTATGAGTAAGAGGTAATTAAATTATTTTCGTTGTCTGGATATTGCATTAATCAAAAGGTTTGTTTCTTTGAATTTTACATGCTCGTTACTCGACTAAAATCTTCAACCAATTACGAGTGTTATCAATTTGATAAAAGAAAAAAGCTTTAAAAACAAAAAAAACAAATGAATCGATCAAACAATGACGATTTAAAATGAATGAATACGATTTTAGAATATTGTATCTTATGTGCTCAAAATATTAATTTTTAAATTAATATATTCTTCGTCTGTATACTCGCCTTAGTTGTCTTTGTGTAAGTAATATTTTGTTCGTTTTCATCTTTATTAATAACACTTGTACAATGCTTAACATTTAAAATGTATTTTTTTCATTAAAACTGCCTATTGATATACACATACAGTAGTACATTATTTAAATTTAGGCAATGGATGTTCGTAAAATTTGATTTGAACTCATTGAAAATAATTGTATCAGTTGCTACAATCTTCTAAAACAAGTTTAGCACGTATATTTTATAACGAATAAACTAAAAATGTAATTGATGAGTGCATACACATACATGCAGTCATTATTCACACACAATCGTTATTGGCATTATCTGTTGCTACAAATGTCCACTAAAAAAATGCTTGAAAAATCAATTTTTAATTGGATCTGTAAAGAAACTTAAGTAACATCAAACTGGTTATAACGCTGTAGTTGTAAATTAATTTTTCAATATTGTTTGTCCATTTTATTAGTAGACATACTCATCACACTTTACACTTACATGTGTAACGTTTAATAGTAAAGTCTTGAACAGAGCACATTTTATTTCCAGTTTAAAATAGCCATAATTACATTTGGCTATACAATGAACACATTACTCTTTATTAAAATTTGACATTCACACATGCGGACGCACACATCGATGAAATAGTTAAGAATGACATTAACGATACTTTCCTTATTTCACTTGTAGGAATCGAAACATCATTTATCTTTGTGCAAAAGCTGCTATATAAAGTAACCTAAATTTTTATCGCTCTACACTTTGTTTAAAATGCCAAGAGCAAGATTTAAATGAATCATATGATTTTAATTATCTTAATTTTTATCACGATTTTCATGTATCCAATATATATATACATAATGTAGTCATGTGCTAGATTTATACGAACTGAATGCCATTCATTCAATTTAAATTCGTAGGCCTGCTGGTGTAGTACTGTCTAAGCTTTTGCAACCATTTAAAAGCATCGATGCACATTTACTGAGATTATCAAGAAGTTACATTAGAATCTGGTAATACAGATTCTTTCAGTAAACGAATAAATTTATAATTATACTTTATAATTTTAATTTTTAATAAAACTACAAACTAAGCTTTTATAATAAATTATGAAAATTTGTTTCAAGATTTCATGGTGACGATTTTAGCTGCATTTGTTGTCCAGCTTTCTTACAAATATTATTCATATTAAGGATAGCGCATTTTAATGACACATCAACAAGTCGGTAAACGCGACAACAAATGACAAGTTGATTAAAATTAAACAATAAATGTTATGAATGTTTATTTTATAATTTTAAATGCATAATTTTATCACTTGAAACGAAGAGAACAAATATTTCAAAAGGTTTTTTCGATGTCTGCTTAAATGCTCTACTTGAAAATTCCACTTTGGAGTGATCAACAAGGCCACTATGAGTTTTACCGTTTACGTTTTACTTAACTTTGACATTAGAATTACATGGAAGGCATAAGCAACATAGTGATATCATTTTTCTCTTTCATATTTATAGAAAGCAGGAATCACAAATCTAAAAGCTCGGGTGCATTTTATACGAATCAGTATATAACTGTAATTTTCGCACCAGCTATCGATTATTTATTGTAAAATCGACGTTCGATCAACTTAATAAAAAACTTAGTAAACAAAAAAACAAAAAACAAAAAAAAACTTCTTCAAATTAAAAAGAAACTTTATAGTAAGACTTATATTGTTAACCTGATTAAAGAAAATGTCGATTTTCTTATTATCAGTACTTAGTAAATAAGATACATGTTTGTTTTGTCAATTGAGTCATTATACATATCACGAATGCTTTTAGCTTGAACAATAAATACATATTATTTTGCGCTTTTTAATTTCCATAAGAACGATACTATACTTTCTGTATTATTAATGGAACTCTCGTAAATTATTAGTCCCTCCTGTAACGAATTGTTACAAAAGGATACATTTCACATGCTACATTGGAATATCTTTAATGTTTGTTATTCTGCTTGTATTGCTCGCACTTTTGACTTACTTTTTGTTCTCAAGTCGATATCACCAACAACAAAAACAAAAACAAAAAACAAATAAAAAAAAGAACAGAAAAAAAATAGAAAAAAAATCATGTATCACCTATAATAGTTTAAAAAACAAAAAAAAAAAAAAAAAACAAAAAAAAACAAAAAAAAACCCTTATTAAACCCATTTATATGCTACTCTTAATATAACGGAAAAAATACGCATATATTTTTTTTTTTCACAGTACTGCCAATCGGATACCGAAAGCAAAATTTCAACTTACGTTAATACAAAGAACGAATTTTCGAGCAAAATAATTTGTTTACTCTTACAAATACTGTTTTACATTCATATTGCTGTACAGAATGCTTCAAGCAGCTAAAACAGCTTTAAATACAAGGAGAAATTCTTCATTAAATTGACGAAATGTACGTGCGTTTCCAATGCCTATTAAATTTGAGAAGAAATATTAAGGATAAAAAATATTCCTAATGATGACATTTCTCAAAATTTTCAATCTAACGAACTTTTTAATTTTGAAAGATATTTATCTCCAATGTCGCTAAAACTTTGAAAGTACTCGCAATAAATCACACCTCTTTTCAAATATAAATACTGATTTTATAATGCTCTAATCTAAATGTTTAAACAATTTATTGTATTTTTCGATTTTTTTTTTTTTTTTTTTTTTTTAAATCTTCTTCATTTACATTGTGAAAATAAGCATTTTTAGTTGATTTGTATTTTGAAAATATATATTAAATCTATCCAGAAGCTTTATAAAATATTAAGCCTTTACTTATAATAACTGATGCGAAACAAGCGAATACCTTGAGAAATTTGTTGAAATTAAAAAAAAAAATAAAACACTTATATTATGCACGCGTGGCACTATTTTCTTTTCAATTTTCAAAATACTTGGAGATGCAGAAGTAACTCGGATGAATTTGATGAAGAATATCTCTGGGTGAAAGAATACAGAGTGACATACAGGGTACTTGCTTCGTTTAATATTATTTAATCTGTAAAGTAAAAAAATTAAAGTTTTATGATTACAGAGACATTATCATCCTTAACATTTATAACGTGGCTCGGCCATCCTTAACTATTACAATATTTTAACTATTTTAACTCACAGTCATTTAGTAATATAATCAAGCCAATGTTAGATTGTTATTAATTGTACCTATTTCAATAATTGTTATAGACTTAGTTGCCAAACTAAAAATTTCGTAAGCTTAAATAATAATTATGATTCTTTATTCAGATATAATAAACAAAACTAGCCTTGACAAAAAGCAATAAAATAATTTATTAATAAACAACGTACTAACGCAAAAAGATATAAAATGTTAACTTACTAAAATGGCAATTCATAAGCAATGTGTAATACGGACAAAGGAGAAGAGAGAGAGAGAGAGAGAGAGAGAGAGAGAAGATTATTAAGGAAGAAAAGCAAGTACCTTGTGATTGTAGTTTATACATGTAAAATATAAAGAATATCTTGGCAGAATAGTTACTTGTAACCAATTTAAGTCTTTGCGATGTCCATAGGACACGCACCTGAAGCGTTAGCCTGCGTATTTCCCAATGACGGGCCACCAGGACTTACTATTGTTGGCGGAATCGCCGGTTTAATAAATCTATCCGATGCACGTCTACTGGATGGTGCTAAAATGTGACCCTAAAATTAATTATTTTATATAATTATTTGTGTCGATTTGTGTTGTTGAGTTACGAACATTTAATGAAGCAACGGCATTATCGGTATTTATGAACCAAGCGCACGTAATTTTCTTTTATATTATTTGCGTTTTTGAAGGAGCAATAGCATTTATGACATTAATTTTCTCGTCTTTTACGACTCTAATCAATGTACAATAGA